GTTAATAGCGTATGCAAGACGAATATGTCGCAAATTCGCATTCGACAGAGGGAGGTATATAGGACGCTACGCGATCTGGACGTGAACAAGGCCAGTGGTCCCGACGGAATCCCAGCCCTGGTTTTAAAAACCTGTGCGCCTGAGTTGTCTCCAATCTTGACACGTCTGTTTCGCCTTTCCTTGGAGACGGGTCTAGTACCGGTTGCATGGAAGCTGGCCAACGTACAGCCTGTGCCTAAAAAAGGTAGTCGTGCCGACCCTAACAATTACCGCCCTATTTCGGTCACGTCCATACTCTGCAAGAGCATGGAACGTGTTCTTAACAATAGACTCCTGGCATACCTTGAAGGTAACGATCTCCTCAGCGATCGGCAATACGGGTTTCGGCGTAACCGATCGACTGGGGACCTTCTTGCGTATGCCACTCACATATGGAGCGAGGCCATAGAGGGGCACGGAGAGGCACTAGCAGTCTCCCTCGATATTTCGAAGGCCTTTGACAGGGTATGGCACGACAGTCTAATCGGCAAGCTTCCTGCATATGGACTTCCTACTGGTCTGTGCATATGGATAGCAGACTTTCTGAGGGATCGGTCAATACGAGTAGTCATCGATGGCTGCTCGTCTGACCAATTCGGTATTAATGCCGGCGTCCCTCAGGGGTCAGTACTTTCAGCGACGCTCTTTTTGCTGCACATAAACGACCTGCTTAAGCCCGGTATCTTTGGGTATGCAGATGACAGCACAGTTGTTGAAAGGTATGTGTCCGGTGCGCGGACTAGCGGAACACAGATCCAGTCTTTAAGAGAATCCATGGTCGAACGTTTGAACTCGACCTTGAAGGCGGTGTCCGACTGGGGTGACGCCAACTTGGTTAGGTTCAATGCTAGCAAGACCCAGGCGTGTCTATTCTCCGCCAAACGGAGTCAATTTCCGCTGACTCCTACTTTCCGGAATGTATCCGTACCGATAACCGATCGTCTTGAGCTTCTTGGTGTAACTCTGACGCCCACGCTCAACTTTGGCTCATATATAGAGTCAAAAGCGCAACTGGCTGGTAGGAAGTTGGGTGTCCTATGGAGGGTGAGACGGTACTTCACGCCGAGACAATTGCTGAGCCTGTACCAAGCACAGGTTCGGTCCTGTATGGAGTACTGCTCTCATCTTTGGGACGGCTCGGCTAAATATCAGCTGGACGCGTTAGAGCACATTGAGAGGCGTGCCAGGAGGCTCATCGACGATGATGCGCTTGTAAAGGCTCGGCTTCAAAGCCTCGAACACAGGCGTAAGGTTGCAAGCCTTTCGGTTTTCTACCGGATACATTTCGGGGAGTGTGCGGGGGAATTGCACAACTTAATTCCCCCTAGTCCTTTCCATCATCGTACCACAAGACAATCCGCGAAGCGTCACCGATTCATGGTAGATGTTCCGCCCACACGCACGAAGCGCTTCGCTTCAAGCTTCCTTGTGCGTACTGCTAAAGAGTGGAATTCTTTGCCAGAGTCTGTATTTCCTGAAGGGTATAACCTGGGAGTCTTCAAGGCCCGAGTGAATAGGTTGCTTATGGGACGACGTGCTCCAACGTAGACCGCATCATCGCTTACCATCAGGTGAGATAGTGGTCAAACGTTGCCCCATCAATTATAAAAAAAAAAAAAAAAAAATAGCTGCCATTTACCACTCCTCTAGTGTTGCGGGCGTCCAAAGGCAGGCATAAATTACCATAAGGTGACCCATGTTTATGGGATGAGGTAGTAAACGAGCAGTCGGATCACCTATTGGTAAGCAATCCATATCGCCCATGTATGTACACCCCCAACACCAGAGCGTTAGCGTTTGAGGATTGTTGGAGATTCAAGGATTGGGGAGATTGGGAGAGGGGTAATTGTGCCTCCGGTAACCTCACTCACACGACGAAACACCACGCAAGCGTTTTTTCATGTCGGTTTTCTGTGCGGCCGTAGTATCACTCCGGTTCAGCCGGCCCATTCGTACTGAAGCACAGTTCTCCTACTCTTAACCTCATCACTTAATGGTAACCGAAGGCTGCCAAAGGTGCAGTCCCAGACAGTTCCTTTGTCGCTTATTCCATAAAAAGTTATACCTATTTATATTATCAGTTATTTTCACAGTTTCATCAGAATTTTATCCCTTATAAGACATGCAAATAATTACATAATGTCATTATTTTCCCAGGTTAGGTTGGAACGGCAAAGAGTGCATCTTGAAAATGCTGTGTGTGACAGGGAACCGGAAAAGCAAACAAGCATCGTTTGTAGGGGAGATTCTACGGGCTGTGTTTACGTAAGAGTATAATTAGTTAAAGGAGTTCATGGACTAATTTGGTAGAGGTGGTAATTTAATGTTGTCGTGGGTAATGGTCAAAGAAAGGAACCTGTTTAGTAGTGGGTTGAAGATTCACAATGAGGGCCAGTTTGAGAAGTGGACTGGTTTTAATAGAAAATGTAAATATAGTAATGTAAAACTTGGTCTCTACATAAATAATAATCGATTTTCTGTGTTGCATGGTTTTGGAATAGTTCCGTTATTTTGCTACCATTGACAATTACAATAAGTCAAACTTTATAATTTTCAAAGTTGTACACACATTTTTATTAACTTTCACGCCTGCCTATGGGACGCCAATTGCTACGATTCTTACATACCTTTTTCGCTTCCTCACAATCCTGCCAGAAGCAAACATCATTACCTACTATTTCAATGCATTGTCGAATTTCAAAAAGAGCTTACAAAGCAATAAGAAAAGAATATTCTTATAAAATGTGACTCAAACTAAATCACTTTACAAATCCAACATTTAAACAACACAGTCTTCAGTCTACAACATCACAAACTTTGAGCTCATAGAATTCTGTACGCTAATAGCCAGACGATGTACTCGGTATTTCCTTGTGTGCTAAACTTGGAACATAATTTCAGATTACCAAAAGTCCTTGACACCATGTCCGAAGTTCATAAGCACTATCATGATGCCCCAGGGTCTAATGGAGACTGTTCTGAACTGTACCCGAAATGTGAAGCCATTCCTATGGAGTAATACGAATGATACAATAAAAATGTTATTGTTTATTTTGTATTGCCAATAAAATTAATGGATGTATTGTTTATTTTTCCTTTTATTGGTGTATGTTGAAATTGGAGTTGGTTATGTGTGTTTTTATATTGATGTCTGTGTGCGTGTAAAATATGGATGTTATTTTTATATTCCAATTCGTAATACAAACTAAATTGATGTCTGTATTGTTTGGTAATTATTTAATACTAGCTACTTCCGTGCAGTTTCACACGCTCTGCTCAGCTCTTATTGGTCGTATAGTGATGTTTTATAGCCTATAGCCATCCTCGATAAATTCGCTTTCCAACAGAAAAATTATTATACATATCAGACTTGTAGTTATGGAGATTAGCGCGTTCAAATAGTATAAGATATAAGATACGATAATATTAATAATATTTTTTGTTACTTGCAGTTATTATTTTTATTGAAATAAAATTGGCTTGATTAGTAAATCATTCTGTTCATTTATTATTTTGCCTAAAAGAACTTGTAGTATTTATTTTTCTGAATAAGATAAGCAATATGCATATATGCAATTATCTATATTGTTATATCCTGTATAGATCCAAAGCAGTGAAAACTTTTCAAAACCCCACGAGAATTTCAAAATTAAAATGTTAATAGAATTCAGATATTTGCTCATATTAGTAGCAGTAGCTACTAGTAGTTTAGTAGTAGCTAAAGAGCCAGCCATCACAATTCAGTAGATATAATACCATTTAATTTATTACTCTATACTAAATCACCCTTTATGAACTAAAGCTGTAACATACAAATTATATTATCCAACGTCAATTTTATTATAATATTTTAAAAATATTTTATGTGTGCAAGAGAGCCATGCATCGTCACTAATGGGTTGGGCTCGAACAGTGATCACTTACAGAAAGTCGGCGTGAAACAGCGCTTATGTACTGTGCTTCATGGCCCGATTCCGTAATAATACCCAAATCCTAAAATCCCTATCCCAAAAAGACCAGTAACGGACCTGTAATTCCCGTGGAGTCGCAAGTGTCTGCGGATGACGCTAATTGCTTTCCATCAGGTAATCCGTCTACTCGTTTGTTGCCTTACCCTATTAAAAAAAAATGCATAACAATGGACGTCCAAAAGTGCAGAGTCGCAGACGTACTCTAATTATTTGAACTGACACTGAACTTGACAACCACGCACCACGCACTGCATACAAACATTAGGTTAGTATGGACGAGGTGTGACCGTTGAACTGTGATATGAATCCGAAGTAGAACTCCTCAATTATAGAAAAAGGTCTGTTATGAACTATGACGTCATTGATATACATACATTTAAAAGAGGGGTTTGATAAGTGAAAGTCATTACCAGTTGTTAACAATTGTGTCAAAAAATAATATTTTTTTTTTGTTAACAAGGAACACCTTTCCTTTTTATTAATATTATGATACATAACTTTACAATATATGAACAAATATTAGTTTGCAATCAGGCGACAACTGAACAGGTAGGTACAGACATCCCCGGGCATTGCACTTAGCAACGCACTTAGCATAATTCTGTATACACAAATAATTATACATATTAATCTTTGTTAAGCACTGATCTAGCTCAAACTAGTTTACACCGATATAAATGTAGGTCTCCAAGTTAAAGCAGACGTTCGTACCATGGCATGTTAAATAGATAATAAATAGACAACAGGTAAACTCAAAAACACAGAGGTCAATGTACTTAAAAGTCACATGCCTAATACGAATTTTGAACAGCAAATTGATTTTGACTTCAGTCATATTTCAAACAACAGTTTGGACTAACAAAAAATTGAGAAAAAATAATCTTAAGTGGTCTGGACAGTCCATATGACGCCATCTTTTGTCACGTGAATGCCAGTACAAATGTGTTACGTATTGTTTAAACCTTTAGTTGTTCTCTTTGAAGGTAGAATATGAATGTACAGTACTTGGTGATAGTTTTCCTAGTGAGTGAATTGTTTGGTGTGAATGCTAGGAAAGGCTGTGATAATGTGAGGGCTCCATTGAATGGCTTGAGAAAGAGGAGGCATTTGACCTTCCCTGAAGGAACTGCTATGGTTGTAAGTACTGATAATGTGTTTGTTAGGAAATTTATCTATGCATGTGATGTGAAAATGTTTTAAAATCATAGTTTAGAGTGAAATAAAGGTTAACAGTACGTCTATCGTGGAGGTCTTAACGGGTTGCCGAGGCTCCGGTTCGAAGTGCATTCAAAAACAATACGTCTAATCTTGCTGTAATGATTACACTATTACTGCCGTTGACATAATCATAGTTTCATAGTAACCACTTAATTATGCTTTTATTGCAATTATGAGTGCATTACGTAAAATTTTGTGTTCGATTAAGCTGTTTTTAGCGTAGCAAATTCAAATGATATATTACAACATTACGTTTACGTATGCGCCAGTTAATCTTATAGAAATGTAACTTTACATTAAATACTGTGTTACATAAAATAACTTTTTTTTAATCCTAACAAGGCGCTTACGCATAGTTCTGTCACTACACAATCTTTGTAAAATGAGAGAAATAGCATGATATTTTAGTACAGCTTAAAATTCAGTAACCTTTCAGTATTCGAGCGTAAGCCACCAAGATAAGACTAGACAATTATAAGAAAACTTCAAAAAGTACACAAAACAGACCACAACTTGACTTCACTCCACGACAATTAACATAGAGACCAACTTCAAACAACTTACTCAGGATAAAATGCAGAAATCCGTAAGATATTATAAAAACTCATTTCTTCAGTCTTCGTTATGATATATTATAATTTCAAGCTTAACTGGAGTAATGGAAATGTTACCTAGAATCTGGTCTTCACAATGTATGAATAAAAGATATACTTGTATCGTAGTTAATGTTAATGAATTCATTTATAAGATGTATGTTAGAAATCTAATATTCTTTTGTGGACATGGCTGTATAGATGTTTCGAACTTTGTTTAAATAAAAGTCATCATTTTTCGTTTCCATAACCGAAATATCCTTAAGCACAGGAAAGCCCTAAAACTGACAATTGCTTCTTCTACGATCTTCCTTCTTCAACCTTCTTTCTCCAATCCAGGAATGAGACGGACTTTTTAAACTTAGACTACACAGTCTTCTTCTCTTTTGTTCTCGTTCAAAACAGTCTCCTGAAATAGTCTTCTTTTTTTTTCAGTTGACGATGTCGGTGCTAAAAGCAATAATGGTGCACGCTCCATCAGGCTGGAATGTTGCAGTTGAAATCGACGTCATTTACCCACTGTTGAGCCCAGAAGTGACAAATGCTTTATTCAGGAAGAAGCTTCACCATCGACAGAAGAGAGAATTTTGGGAGAAGATGCAAAATGCTCTTGAAAGGTAAAGACATATTTTAACCGACTTTAAAAAAAGATTTTCAGTTTGACCTTATGTGGATGTATGTATGTATGTCTGTGCATAATTACGTCGCCTTGGTTGAACAGATTTTGATACTTAGGAGAATGTTTTAGTATATTAATTAACCAACTTGAAAATAAACCCCTCTCGGGTTTAAGTCGTTTCCTTTGAACGTAGTTTTTTATAAAAGAACTAGCGACCCGCCCCGGCTTCGCACGGATGCAATATGTATATACATACAAACCTTCCTTAAGAATCACTCTATCTATTAAAAAAAACCGCATCAAAATCCGTTGCGTAGTTTTAAAGATCTAAGCATACATACGGACATACAGCGAAAGCGACTTTGTTTTATACTATGTATTGATTAACCTTAAACTATTTCTTTGCATTCAAAAGTATTGGTACGGAGTTTAAAGATCTGATAATATTGGTTTTATAGAGGTAATAAAAACATCTAATGCGAAATATTGGTCGAAGCTCTATTAATGACTTCAAAAAAGTGGATGCATGGTGCCCAACAAATTTTAATCACTTCCATGTTGTCTCTTGTATTATTCGAGTGTCACAAGAAACACTTTAATTTTTTAAATCATATATCATGAATGTATTATTCATCTTCCACATTATTTGTGCTCTTAACATGTTAAAAACGCCATGGGGATCACCGGTGACCGGCGTTAGCGGAGGATTTACCTTCAACAGTTTTTTATTGGCAGTCATAGTCTTAAGAAACTTATAAGCATTAAACCATAACGCTTACTTGTGAGAAAATTCTTCCACAACACTAAGTTTTCCGTAACAAGTGTTCAGTAAATCATTTTGTTTTCCAGTTACAACTTGAACGGTCGCTCCTGTATTTATCGAAGCATATGTGAAGCTAGAACACATTTGGCTCCACCGGGAAAGTCTTTGGTGCATGACATTTTAAGGGCGATATTCTTGTAAGTTTTTGTCTCTTCAATTCTTTAGTTGATTCTTTAGAAATGTTTGTGTAGCATTGTCGAAAGACTTGGAACAACAATCTATGATAGCTGTATTTAACGGAGGAGGGCTGGATTGTGTATAAAAAAGGTATTAAAGTCGGTTTTTAACGCAGCTTATGACAGAATTATTGATGTAGTGGTTTTGGAAATGACTATGACCAAATGACAATGACCAAATTTGTATGGAGCGTGGTGCCTTTTCATTTTTTCGCGGCAGTTGATCGGATGTGGAAAAACTGATGCAGAATAACATTACAAACAAAAAAATATATGAGGTCTTATATCGAAAACGCAGTCCAAGCCGAGTTAAATCAGTTCAAAGATGTGAAAATAGTGCTATACTATTCCTGTTATTTTGTTGATGGTGACCGTACACAACGCATATTTCTTCATTTACTTGTCAGAAATATTTTGTAATAAATGTTTATTATGCATTAATGTTTAAATAGCAAGGAATATAATAAAGCTTATTGTGGACTTTTTTACTTATTTTTCTTGTTTTTTTTTTGTTATAAGGCCACGGAATCAGAACAGAGTGAACCATTAACTGGCCACTGCTGAAGTAAAAAAAACATTTCACTTGATTGGCTAGCGTGTTCACTTTATATGTAACTATACGGTTAATGGCTTACGACAGATTTTCATGATCAATTTTCTCTCAGTCGAAAACCCGCAAAACACTTCACTGAGTCCTATCATGAAATGCTATGTTTGTCAGCTGCAGCGTCGGTAGAGGATTGAGTAGTGGCAGTCGTCAAAACTAAAAAATCATTTTTCTGCCTACTTCTTCCGACTTACTCCGGATTAGTAACTAATCTAACTACAGTTAATACTTTAATCGACAGCTAGCATAAGATTCTGTACAAAGATATCGTCATTCAGTCACAAAGTGATGGACTATATTTCGGCTGATCACATTATATGGAAAAATTATTCGCTCATCTGACGTATAGCCTGATGGGCTGTACAAAGATAACGGTTTCCTTTCTTCAAAAGATTATGCTGACTATAAAGTAGATAAGTCTCCCATCAGGAGTCAACGGCAAAAAAAAACTTTTTTAGATGTTTGGACGGCTACCACTACTCAACCCACCACGGTACGACAACTGACGCTCATGAAGCTTCATGACACAACTCCTAGAAGCATCCCACAAGTTATCGACTGAGAGTAAATAGCTAATAAAAATTAGTGCCTGGCAATATGGATATATTGTGATGTTATATGGTGTTCCTGTGCCCGGCGTACAGTAGCGCGCAATTTAAAGTTAGGAATTGTGACAAAAATAGGAATAATTTGAATAAAAAAACCAAAGTAAAATGTTTGGCTCCAGTTCCTTTCAACGCTCATAACTCAGTCCAGACTGAGATTTCCTTATATGAGCCCATAGACAATTTCGTTTGTAATGTCATTCTAGATAATATTTTCCATAAATCATCGATTGCCGCCAGAAAAAAGAAAGGCACCAATTTTAGTCAATGCCCAAGGGCATCTGTTGTGAAAATGAGAGGGATTAAATTAGTTTTAATCCCAGGGAGGCGCAAGCGTCGATCTATGCAAAACCCAATGTATTTGTTATCGTGTTTTATACAGTAATCATGTGTATTAAAGTTTCTACTCAATCAAAGTATTCTATGCGTTTCTATATTCTATTGATAGATATGATATAGAAAGGCATACAATAATGGAATTAGAAAGAAAGAAAGAATAGTTACAAAAATTTAAAAATGTAAGAAAAATTGTTTTAATATCAGAATAGTAAACACGGTGCAAAATGCAAAAAGACCAGTGCTCAGCCTATTGCTACAACACTTACGGTCGAATACCGAAAGACTACATGATTTTAAGTTGTAGTTAAATATCGTGCCGTCTCTGTCATTTTACAAGGAATTTGTAGTGACAGAACTACTTAAGTAAGCGGGACTTAAAAGTCTTTCAGTATTCGGGCATTAAGCTAATTCGATCTTAAGTAGTATTTAATCGTCTGCTTTCATCATCAACAGCCTATAAATGCCCACTGCTGACCAAAGTCTATTCTCATACGGAGAAGGTTTGAGCATTAATCACCACGCTTGCTCAATGCGGGTTGGCAATTTCAAACTTATAATTAGAAATTATAAGTCCTGGTTTCCTGACAATGTTTTTCTTCACCGTTTGTCAGTGGTATCTAAATAATCTTAGAAAGCACATATAACTCGGAAAAAGTCACATTGGTACTTGCCGTTGGTAGGTTTCGTAACCGCACTCTCATGTATGAGAAGTGGGCGTCTTAAACCTCCGGGCCACCACGTAATAACAGCTACTACTTAAAGGATAAAAATTATTGGCGTTATCGTTGGTAAGAAAACTTTGTTAAACCAATAATATAAAAGTGTTCGTTTTGTTTCAAGTGCCCCAGTTCACGAAGAAGGATTTAAGGACGAAGTTAATGAAACTTATAACGAACTATTGGAACCAAGTATTTGTGAAAGAATCCACGACTGCCCCATTTCACTATTGGAAATTATTTTACGTTTGAATAAAAATGCTTACAGTTGAATGTTATTATTGTTTTTATTCTTAATCTTATGTACCACTGCTTTCTTTTATATGTGTTTTATGGGCCGACATTTGACCGCTATCGGCTGGTGATTTTCAAAGACTTTAACAATGGTTTAGTGAATGTTACCATTTCCAATTTTCTCTGGTAGTGTGTATAGGCAAAGACGTTTACTTAATTAACTTAATTCATTCATTTTCTAACGTGAGTATTTGAGTATATTAATTCTTTTGATCTAATCAACCTTTTTGTTCAAAACCTCAAGACCATAATATTATGAATAAAAGAGATGTCTTTTACAATAATAAGATTACGTAGTCAAGGGACTTTGACCAACTTAAACATGACGTAATAATCACGATACAAAAATTGCATAACTATAACTACTTAGCAATAACGAAGTAATTAGAATATTTGGACAGGACTACGCAACGTTAAACCTGTCTAGTGTCTAGCTGTAATTTAAAGTCAACGATATGAACCTATTACACCAACTTTAAATACTAGTCCCATTCACGCGTAACTTTGTGGTTGATGACGATAGTGAAAAAATGCTAGATTTAAAATGGCCTGTAAAGTAAGAATGTTAGGGCTCATTTTGCGGTAGCATAGCATTCGGATTCCAAGGAGGTGTGACTCGTGACTGAGCTAATGAGGGTAGGCGAGGCTCTAATTCTTTGATCCAACATCCCGGGTCAGTGAACAAGTTGGAAGCGCGCACGAATCACATTCTACGTTATCTTTGTATAGATAAGGTTTGCATGCGATTTCCTTTTTTAAAATTTTTGTTGGAACTTCTTTAAGAGTAATTTTTGGTTGATGCGTAATGGTGAAGTTACGACGTTTTGGGTTTCAGTCATTGAAAAGAATAGCAGTGCTGTATGTAACATTATTGGAGTAATAGTTATTAGCTGGTACAGCCTTTTTTCTTGTTTCTTACATTCTTCTTAATTAGGAACAATTACTGATTCCCAAAATATAAAGGCTAATCTGAACATACAGATAAAGTCAGTACACATAATTTCAATTTATTTTCCAGTTTATATCTTCTATAATAACAATCACACTAACAAAACAAACACGTAAACATATTGTCTAGACAATATTATCAAGAAATTAAACTGAGAAAAAAATAACAGTCCCATCTCCAAGTTATTTGTTTGTCGTCTAAATTATGAATGAAAAAGGTAGACAGACAACGGTGATTCAAATAAACAGTCTAGTCTATATTCTGTAACTGGTAGTTGTGTAAACCTAAGACTAGTTGCCTTGCTGTATTCCTAGTAACCTTAACCGCCGTACTCAGAGCTAATGGTTACTTATCCTAGTCGATAGCAATTGTTTTCAGAACACAATTACTACTTTTTTCAAGAGGGGAAAATTATCCAATGCCTTCTCCTAACTGAGTGATGCGAGACAGAATGTTAGAATCTTACTAACTAAAAATCACCCCTTCCTACTTCTGCTCTTCGAACCGGAGCCCCGGCGACCCGTTAAGCCATCTGCGGCTCAGTGTCGGTATCAGCTCTATTGGGCCCCATCTGTGGTGGTCTGATGGCTCCTAGAGGCTGCCGCGAAACGCGATGTGCCGCACGCTCGAGACAAAATCACTACTAAGGAACAGTTCACGTAATCATTAATTATGGGATAAATAATATTTGATGTATTTATACCCCAATACTCAAACGCTACTCAACTTTAAATCGAGCTTATATATAGTTCTGTCACTACAAATTCGTTGTAAAATGACAGAGACAACACGATATTTAAGTACAACTTAAAATAGAATAGCCTTTCAGTATTCGGGCGTTAGTTTTTTATTAGAGCTTTTCAAATCATCACCAATCCCAGCACAGACACGTGAAGGACACTCCGAGCGTGCGGCGCGTCGTGTTCCGCGCGCACCTCAAAGAGCCATCAGACCAACACAGATGCCCAATAGGGCTGACTGAACGTAACGGGTTACCGGGGCTCCGGCTCGAAGTGCCGGAGTAGGAATGGGGTGATTTTTAGTCAGTAAGAGTCTGACACTCCCTCCCACCATTCCCAGGCGGGAGAAGTTAGTCGATGATTTTCATCTATTAAAAAAATACCATAAAGGACGCATCGTAATACCGAAACAAGAAGAATAACAGCTCTGACATCTAAAGTCAGACTTTTCCATACTTCTAACAAGAGGAACATTAAGGGAAAACAGAAAAAAAGTAAAATAAAGAAAAAAAATTGCAAGTCATTGTAATTTACCTTTGGTGTATTAACAAATTACAATGATTCATATAATACAGTAATGCGATAAAATAACCAGAATCTAAATATCCGGATAAAAAGTTAGTGCCTTCTATAAATGGTCGTCATACCATTTCGCCTCTGAATGGTATGTTTCAAGTCGACCAATCGGATTGCTTTATTTAAACCACGTTCAAGGCGCGAATTAATCCTATTGGTTCGATTTACCATACATTTGCAGGTAAAAGTACACTGAGAAACAAAAACAAGTGACTGTTACTTATTTTCTCGAGACCACTTTCAATTATTTTAATCCTGATACTTACTCCACCAAGTTACCATTTTTTTATGAAATAGGAGATAAATGAGCATATAGGTCACCTGATAGTAACCAATCAGCGTCGTCGTATGGATACTCGCAATACCAGAAGGGCCTTTTAAAAAGGAATGCGCTCTTTTCTTGAAGGGCTGAAGGTCGTATCGGTTCGGAAATACAGCCGACGACAGATCATTCCACAGTTTTGGTGTGCGACTCAGAAAGGTACAAGAGAAGCGCACAGTTGTGGCCTGCCAGCTATCTATATGATAGGGATGGATATTGAAGAGAAAAAAAGAATTAAAGAAGAAGAATTATGTCAAACCCGAACTAAAACTCAAATAGGATCTTCTAATTGATTTTTCTTACTCTGCAGTAACTTTTGTCTTTTAAATAAGACCAACAACATCAGAGACACTTAAAGAAGAATATATTTCTTTGGGTAGAATGCCGAGCTAGAGTCCTCTAACTAGAATAACTGCTGCATGTGGACCAATAACGTATTAAACTTAATACATAATGGGGAACTTCCCATCGTCAGTTCCTGGTAACTAAATGATGAAATCCTGTAAAGATATTAAATAAGACATTATAAAACTTGTTACCTTCTCTAAAACGGCTCTTGATATCCTTACCAGCATTATTTAATAGTTCCAACTTCCACCTTCGAAAATGAATAAAAGGGACAAGAACTAAAAATACTCTCAACAATAATTGATTCACAAACAATACCTAGTGCTAAAAATAGCTGTAAGAATTCTTTTAAACGCCACTGGGTTCACGAACTTTGTTAGACTGTCCCCAAATATACCCATACTAAGCCATCACGTAGTTATCCCGTACGTTCAATGTGTGCAATGTGTGAAAACGTATTGAAAAAAACACACGTCATGTTCTGATACATATAACTTATTACCGACTATTATTAGAAGGTATCTGGTTGAGCCTAGCCGCACGATATATACCTATACACGCGAAAATAGATAAATTTCTAAATAAATAGATCAAATATTGACAATTATTCTGCAATTAAATCTACAGAGACAGTTGGCTTTTAGATTTTTTGGATTAAATCTGTTCAAGACAGACTTTTTTTCAAATTATCTAAATTTTATTCTGAAATGGATATCCAGTCATATTTTTTGTTGGTAATATTAATATTAATAGGCCACATTTCGAGTGCGTCTTCAGTGAATTCGACAAAGGAATGTCCTAATATAAAAACTTCGTTGGTTTCTGTGAGGAAGAGACGCCATCTTGCTTTTCCTCCGGGATCTGCTGCTTCGGTGAGTATGTTCAAAATTAATTAAAATAAAACAAGAAAATATACGGTTATGGTAGAATGGAATGGTTTTGTTGAATTTCAAACGTAACAAACTTTTATTCTGCAATTAATTAATTTATCTGGGATCTATTTATTGCTAGTTAAGATTGATATCCATATATTTATGGAAAAATATATCTTAAATAAGTCTTTTACGAAGTAGGTATTGACTTTTATCATAATTGTTACAACAATGTGTATTTTAATGAAATAGTCAGTGATTTGTATTGTTGCCTCTTATTGCGTAATTTAATTATAATTATTGTGTCTCCTACCTCTACATTTCAGCGTTACTTAAAAAGCGTATTTTGTTAGTTTTTTTAAACTATTATTTATTTTCCATTTTTTAGTTGAATTTTCTATAAAAGCGTATTTTGTTAGTTAGTACTACTGGTATTGTGTCATAAACCTATAGTTATCAAATTAATTTATCTGCACCCAAAACTAGGGACCAATACAATAAGCAGAGATTGTTCAAAAATTCAGGGTTGCTTTAAAGTTAAGGGCTTAGTTATATTATCCTAATAGTATAATGCACGTGACCGTGAAGCCTGTGGTACAGATTTAATTCTATACAGGCATTGTATTGTAACCTGCTTAGAATAGTTAAATAATAAGCTTAGATGAAGTATATATGAACAAATTGGAAATAAATATATTTGTTTGTTGGTTGTTGTTGTTTGTAAAGTCAATAAATGGTTGAAAAGTACTGCCGACTCCAAAAATGTACGGTCTTTTATTAAAAGGAATATACATTAAAGCTTTGACCAAAATGATTTGTACAGAACAATATATCGAGATTGTTTTGTTCAATTATATTTATGAGGTCTTTCATAGGCCTTGTCTGGCTATAGGCTTGCCATAAATCCCACGCCTGGCAGGCAAGTTGCAGATCGTAGTTTAAAAGGTTCGAATTGATCAGGGAGTGCTGCTTGATCTCGGTTGATTGTACTTGCACTTGCGGAATCCCTAAGACACTTGCCTGGAAAAATAGGATAGTGATAACAAATTTACTTTATTCTGCTAGGCAAGGCTCGACTCATTTAGATTATTTATCAATGCTGTTTTATCTCTTATCAGGTATGAATTGTTCTGAACCCATAAATAAGCTGAATACTTGTAGATCACGAACACGTAACAACCACGCGAGTGATCCATGATCCATTATCGCAGAAACCTTTGGTTAGAATCTAGTTAAAACTTTATGCCAACCACAAATTAGGCAGTTTTTAAAATATTCTGTAGTTAAGTCAAAGATTTGGAATACCTAGAACGAATATGTGTAAAATAAAGACAATTTCAAGAGAAAATATACAAAATCCATAATATAGATGAAAATACCGCAAAGAAACAAACTGTACGTGAAGTTTTTACTTTGTCAAAATTGTAATACCTACATGTTTTGCTTTTAGTAATTATGGTTTCAATCGAGTATGATTTAAATAAGATGTCTTTTTCAAGGGAAAAAAATTACTTTCTATTGAATCTGATTAACGTTGAAAGCTCATTTCGAAGTCAGGATTTTAACAATCACGATGAAAGATTTTCACCAACGGCACGGCCATATTAAAAAAAAACAAAAATTGGTTTAAAACCAATTGATTAATTTTTAAAAGCCGTAACGAGGTGATCTGACAGAGAACTAAAGTTACCGATGTAGCCTAAAGGATAAGCAAGCTGAAATGGCAGTGGGCCGGTCACATTTGTCGAAGAACCGATGACCGCTGGGGTTTTTTTTTTTTGTAAGGGGTGAAAATCATCGAATGACTTCTCCCGCCTGGGTGAGGCGGGAGGGAGTGTCAGACTCTTACTGACTAAAAACCACCCCGTTCCTTCTCCTGCACGTCGAGCCGGAGCCCCGGTTACCCGTTAGGTTCTCCGCGACATGACCGCTGGGGTAGGGTGCCCTCCAGCTAGGTGGAGTGACGATATACGTAAAGTGGCTGGTAGTAGTTGGATGAGTAAAGCTAAAGACCGAGCTCAGTAGCGTGACATTAGAGAGGCTTATGTCCAGTAGTGGACGAAAACAGGCTGTTGATAAGACACACAAAAGCGATGATATAATGAACTGCAATAAATTTGGACATGATATAAAGCCCTAATCATTTTTTAATGCGTCTTAAATTCGTGTTTTAGATTATTGTTACCTTTGTAGCAAATATTGCATTCAGCCATTTTGCAAATGGTCTGAGCTCTTTGGGTAATATAGTAATGTGTTTATGCATAAAGCGTTGTGCGAGCATCAGAGGACGATTGCAACAGAGAATGTAGGGTAAATTGATGATTGAGAATGTAGGGTAAATGACTGCACGGTTGGTGCGGTGGCTGGGCAACCGGCTGCCGTGCATCGTGTCGCGGGTTCGATTCCCGCACGGAACAACACTTTGTGTGATCCACAAATTGCTGTTTCGGGTCTGGGTGTCATATTGTGTATGTCAACTTGTATGTTTGTAAACGCACCCACGACACAGGAGAAAATCCTAGTGTGGGGCAACGTTTTAATAAAAAAAAATTGTGAGGCCTATTGGAAGCAATTACATTGATATTTAGTGTTACGATAAGTATCTTATTGCAAAGAATTCTTTTTTTCTGGGATAAGCCGGTAAACGAGCAGACGGATCACCTGATGGTAAGCAAACGGCGTTGCCCATGGACACCTGGAACACCAGAGGCGTTACAAGTGTGTTACCGGCCTTTTGGGATTAGGGATTTGGGGATTGTTGGGGATTCAGGGATTGGGGAAGGGGAGGAGGGGTAATTGGGCCTCCGGTAACCTCACTCATACGACGAAACACAACGCGAGCGTTGTTTCACGTCGGTTTTCTGTATTCCGTGGTATCACTCCGGTCGAGCCGGCCCATTCGTGTCGAAGCATCCACACTTATTAGCCTTCAATTTCGAACTTGGAATTTCCTTTTTTGTTGGCCCGACGTTTGGCCACTATCTGACCTGGTGCTGGTGGTTACCTCCACTTATCAAAGATTTTCAGAAGTAAATCATTGTAGATATTTTTGTAACTCGATATTAAATAAGTCTAAGCATATTTGATGAGTAGATCTTTCCAAAAAATGGCCTGGTATGAGGTTATTTTATGTATGTACACGTAGTCAGTAAAATTGATGTCTGTGTGAGAGTAATAACAATGTGCTATGTGTTTGGAGTATAAATAAAGTTGTTTATGATTTCTAACTTCACTACATGGCTGACTTAAATTTTAGCTTAGTCATCATGACAAACTATATGAATGTCACGCTTAATATAGCTGATATGGTGTCATCACTGCGAGGACCGCTCTGAGGACACGGTGGAACACACAGTGGGGAATGCCCTGCTTGGGCTGAGCACCGCCAAATTCCAACTTTATTCCACCGTGTCCTCAGGGTGGTTATCACAGTGATGACACCCGAGCGTTTCCTCCCGTCGTATCAGACACAGGTACCTCTGGTGGTTCCCATGTCCGGTGAGGACCTGCATCAGGTGGTAGGTGAAGACGCCGTAGCGTCTCTCAAGCCACTCCTCAAAGAGACACTGCGGATAGAGTGGCTTGACAAAGGTGGCAAAGAAGCGCTGGATACATTCATTCAGGTTATTGTGAACCAGCCAATCTGAATGTCATTGCCTATATTTAGCAGTGGATTCAGCAGTGGATTTTTTATGGAACAAGTCTGTCACAATCTTCCAAAACCGAACACTGAAGTCCGGCGCGTCCCAGAGACATGATGCCTGCCTGAAACGATATCTTGTTTCTAATGTGATAATATTGATTACCTTAAAATGGAATCCAGCATTAGCATGTTTGATCCATTTCACAATTTAATCTACCTCGATCTCTGATTATCGCTTTATTTGTGGTACTGTAATTAGCGATACACTAATAAGGCGCTGACGTATCTAGTATGGTGTTAAAATAAGAGGCAATCGTGAAAAAAAGACGATAACTGTCATTTAATAAGACAGCAAATACTTATAGTAGTTTTACAAATATTAACTTGGACTTAGCTAGTTTTTACTGGGATCAGGGGGTCTCCAAGATAAGCCCCGTTTAGATAATGTTTGATAATTACCAAAATGATAATTTAGTGTTCGTGTACAGATATTCACAAATGTATACATAGACTCTCATCCTATCAGCTAAGCATGTTATTACTATTCTCGCGCACAAACATACATACATACATACATACAGGTTAAACAGAGAACCTTCTTTTTTTTAAGTCGGTTAAATACATGACAATTTTGCAGCTCCTAAACAATTATAATAGTTACCTAATAAGTTTAAAAATAAGTAAGTAGTTCCACCAACAAGAAGGTAGATTTAAGTTGTGCATCTTTGTTGATTCTGCGACACATACATATAGGTCAAACTGAGGACCCCTTGTTTTCTTTTTGAAGTCGGTTAAAAATGTTTTTGTGCATATGGTAAATCAAATCAAATCAAAATATTTATTCCCAAGAAATATAAATAATCAAATTCATCTTACCATCATCTCAAGTCTTTTTCAACCAATTTGGTGTAGGCCTCTTTCAAATCTTAGTTTTGTTTTGGGCTGTTAGTATCCAATTTTGTCCCGTCACCTCTTTGATGTCATCTTTCCAAGTTATCTGCAGTCTATCAACAGGTCGTCTGTGTTCTCACAAATATCAAAGTAATTACCCTATATTATCAAATATCTTTAACAGATTATAGAGGTACTAATTTTTAATCTGACATAGATTTTTACTACTAAAATGGTTGACACTTTTACCTATTAAATATTAAAGAAAAGAAGTTCTTCTCTTTAGCTTATTTTTATGTATATCTTACAGGTGACTACATCAGTGGTGAAAACGTTCATGACCCACGTACCATCAGGTTGGTTTGTGGTGGTTGAAGCTGAACTGGTGTACATGCTGCCAGACCATACGATGATCAGCGCCCACAAGAGAAGGAAGCTTCATCATCGACAGAAGAAGGAGATTTGGGAGACACTTAAAGGCGCTTTGGAGCAGTGAGTTTTAGTTTAGTTTCGTTTTCTTAGTCTGTAACTGTAACTGTCACAATGCTGAATATAGCCTCTTCTTAGAGCAAAAAGACAGATTATTATATTATATTATTTATATTAGTTTTATAATACCGATTTCATAACAACTGTGACCAATATAAAATGTCATCACTACATAGTATAAAACAAAGTCGCTATCCGCCGTCTGTTTGTCCCTCCCTATCCATGCTTAAATCTTTAACTACGCAACGGATTTTGATGCGGTTTCTTTTAATAGATAGATTGATTCTTAACAAAGGTTTATATGTATAATACATGCATATTGCACCCGTGTGAAGCTGGGGCGGGTCGCTAGTATAAATATAAATTTCATATTCTATTGGAATGTTTTCTTTTCCTTTAATTAATGTTTTGTTAATTTATTCATGTAAATTAATGCAACTTATTTTGTTTTTTAAACGATATCTTTTATTCTAATTTTGCTTTATTAACTTCTAAATGACTTTATTTTTGGCCTGTAAGCCACTATTAACTTTAAGTATAGAAGCATTAAGATTCCCTTCTCTTTCCGTATTATTGTCTATTAATTGATTTTTTTAAAGAATGCTGTGCTCGCCTGTAATAGATTGTAACAGTTTACTGTCTAATGAAAATGTTTGTTGTTTAATATACGAATGTATACAATGGTTGGTGGGCCAATAAATATCACTTACGAATTTGACCTGTTGAGATTTTAAATTTTGCACTCATGAGATGTCGCTAGTGAGATGTGAGGTCTTATTTGTGCAATCAACTCAGCTATCACAAGTTCTAAACTTGAACTGAGCGCCTGCATTTGTCCACTATTGATTACCCAACTTTCGTAATATTATTTTTTAACTATTTGCTTCCGATTACAGACGCAATATGAACGGGCGAGGCTGTATCATACGGACGATATGTGAGGCCAAGATGCGGTTAGCACCAAAAGGAAAGTCTCTTGTTCACGACATCTTGAGAGCTATGTTCACGTAAGCAATTTGATGACCACGTTATTATTATTATCAACATCAACAGATAGTGACAATCCACTGTTGGAATCTTCTTAAAATGACTTCGCCATAATTTCCACTCTTCATTTCTTTCACTTTATTCATCAATTAAAAAAAAGGTTTTATAAAAAGATCTCAGTGGTAGCATGGGGGCTAGATTTGTGCCCGGTATATGACAATAGGCTCACCCCCTATTACATGGGACTCGTAACATAAATAGTGAAAAGTGGGTGTTACATTGTAAAGTGGCATTAAGTGCTGTAATGTGTACCTCTGCCTACCCCTTCGGATAAAAGGCTAAATGTTATGTTATGTCCATTCTTCAGCGCTGCTGTCTAGTCTTATCTAATGTGAAGTTCGATTGAACTACTACTTCACTTATTATTTTAACTTCACATGAGATACTATTAAATCGGACTCCATCCCATAGTAGGTGCTTACGACTGTGGGAAGTGGAAGAGATGACAAATGCATAACTCATTATACAATATTATAATAATTATGACGTAATATTTACACTTTTGAGGTCATTTTGACCTTTACAACTCCAGTGAGACGTACAAAGACCTCTATAAATTGACTGGATTACTGACTTAAGGTCTTAGTCTTAAGGAGACATTACTGAACTTCTAATTATGTAATGTTAGCAACGCTTTGAGAATGAGTGTATGTAATAATATAGTGATATAGTTTCAATATGTTTGTTGTATCAGTAATTAGACGTTTTACGACTATAACATAGTAGATGTTTTACTTTAATTTAACTATACTGATCAATAAATATCTTGTTTACTTAATCCAATGATCAAAGTCAAGCCAGTTTCCACGGTAGCCAAAAAACGATAGTTACTCGGTTTGGTCTCTTGGAATTTTGTGTCGAATCTCACTACAAATAAAAATATTACTTTTAATTTTTGACTGCACGGTTGGCGCGGTGGCTGGGAAATCGGCTGCCGTGCAACGTGTCGCGGGTTCGATTCCCGCACGGAACAATACTTTGTGTGATCCACAAATTGTTGTTTCGGGTCTGGGTGTCATGTGTATGTGAACTTATATGTTTGTAAACGCACCCACGACATCCTAGAGTGAGGCAACGTTTTTTAAAAAAAAAAAATTCTTGAGTATTTATTACGTAATCTCGCATAAAGGACTACCATTGCCAACTAAGCATTTAGGCAGACATTATAAAATCCTTCACACATAAAAATAATTTATACATCTGAGACAACAATAATTAATTACACCAATAAATACATCCCTAAGATTCGAATTTTACGCTACATAAGCCCTAATCTTGAAATATGTATAAATTATTCAAAATCGTTGATAATAACCACTATAAGATAACCGCATCGTGTCATTGCTGAGTTCTCAACACGCTAATTGCCTTATAATCCAAATACGTGATCCTTATACGTCGCGGGATTACGTCATAACATTATATACCATGAAACAAGGAACTGAAACAATTCGGGATTTACCTCGTGAGATTTTTACAGAACACCAAATCCATTACCGGTTTTGTTCATGGTGGAATCTATTGCGGCGTGTCGAAACGGCAATGGATTACGTTACTTGAGTTAAAGTTTCTTGTAAGGTTTAGGGTTGCATAGTGGCTCCTTAGAGATGTCTCGCGTAGGCGATTCTCATTGTTAAAATTCTCTTTAAACTTTCATAAGTGGTATTGTGGAGGGAAATTGGTGGATGACGTCACGTCGGGGTTGGTTTGGATAGAACCCAGTTCGGGGAATTGTCCTCAATATAAGATTAACGAAAAATAGGCAGGGTTTGTTTTTTCTTTATAAGTTAGGAAGTTATAACATAACATAATGCCAACTATTTGCGTCAGGAGAGGTAACAAGATAGGTCATGCATTGGCACCATTGCAGATTTGGTCAGCCATTTTGATTTGTAGTCAGTGGTCACGTCACACTTAACTTAATCCTACAATAATGGCCCTTTTTTAGGGGAAAAATCATCCAATTACTTGTCCCGCCCAGGATGAGGTGAGAGGGAGTGTCAGACTCTTACTGACTAAAAACCACCCCGTTCCTACTTCTGCGTTTCGGGCTGGAGCCCCGGTAATCCGTTAAGTGCTACGTGGCTCCGTATCGACATCAATAATAATAATAATAATGAACATTTATTTATGAAGATTTATGCATGGGCGAACCGTATTAGACGGTATAAGAAGAGAGTGAAACGATACACCGAGAATCGCACATTCCAAAGGGATCAAAGGTGGGTGTATAGAACTTGGGAGCAAAAAGAACAGACTAGGACTGATGCGTGCTTACCAAATGTTGATGCTATGAATTCGTT